TGAAGTACTTGCTGCCTTTGGGGTTTTGATTTCCAAGGTTTGGTTACGAGAGGCATTCTTACAACACACACACGCACACACACACACACACACACACACACACACACACACACACACACACACACACACACCACACACACACACACACACACACACACACACACACACACACACACACACACACACACCACACACACACACACACACACACCACACACACACACACACACACACACACACACACACACACATACACACACACACACACACCACACACACACACACACACACATATATATATATATATATATATATATATATATATATATATATATACAGATAGATAGATAGATATGACTGGAAAATCTCACATGAACCCAAGTGTCAATTCAGTCTTTTTTTTTGCATGCTTATGCTGGTCGAAGTTCTTTGATTTTTTTCCATCCAAGGTATTGCCTGGCCATTCCATATTGATAGCCTCTTGAACGACCAAAAGGATTTTGTCTCAGACAAAGAGGATTGCATGCCTGGACCAAGAGGATTGCAGGCATTTCTTTTCAGCGGTCTCTTCAAAATGAACCAAAGCTCCAAATCTTGAAAATAATAAAATACAATAACTTCGCTGGATGTTGGAACAACAGGTGAAGAAATAGATAGCTGTAGAGTTATAGATTCTTGTGGTGTCCCTTATATTATGACATGGTCAAGTATGTGTGCCTGGAATGAAAAAATAAGGTGTCTTGAGAGCCATGAGACAGGTCAGAGAAAGGTCAGGACAGGTTTTCAAATTTGTGTGTAGCGCGGGTTCCCTCGCTTGCTTTCCATATCTCAAAAAGAAGCAGCCCTAGTCTTAAGTCCAGGTGCCATCCCAGCCGTGCATTCGCTAATCATCACGTTAATAATGGTGGTGATGGTTCAGAAATATTACTGCGTCTAATGCGTTTTGTCCGTGTGAGTTGTTTTTTGCATTTTCTGCAGCATCATAAACTTGATTCATTTTTTTAATCAACGGTCCTCAGCAAAGCAAGAGAGCTTAACCGGCCTTGGGTCTCAGAGGTATTCTTGTTTCTCACCTTTATGAACTACAGTGCCCCTGACGCCGGACTTAAGAGAACGTTGTTCTCCCCCCCCCCCCCCCCCTCCCTCCCGTATAAAGCTATAGAGCCCGCACCTATGAGTCTCATATACCCGACTGCATCAAATGGGCTTGAATGAAATCGTTTCATATCTCCTGGGCTCATCTGGGCTCCTTAAAATTCGCTAGATCAAACTTTGAAGCGTTTACGGTATTTGCTCTATCGTGTACCAGAACACGCTCATCAAATACCCGTACCAATTGGATCTGTTGGCGCTGATTTCCCCTGGTGCGTTCTCCCAGCTCTTCGTACCAGTCACTGTAGGTGCCTAGTTGGGACACTGGATCGCTGGCAGCGGTATTCAGCCCCGGGCACAATCCCCAGTGTGGGCGTTCTCGTCATGTCTTAGTGCAGCGAACACCGTGCGTGCTTGCTTTCATCTTAAAGTGCGCCAGTGCGCCAAGCGTGTAACGTTCAGTGGAGGGTACGGTGCGCTTGTTGTTCAATCGCAATAGTCATAGAGTCACCATTGATTGCATCAGGGCGACGTCCACACTTTGGATGTCCCGAAATCGATTTCCGGCGGGGCAACACTGCGTAGATGCTCTAAACAAATATTAGCGGCAGTTTTAACCCGCTTTTCCAGCAGCCACTTGAAAAAGTCTCTTGAAGTTGAAGAAAGCTTCGTGCATAACATTTCTGACAGCTGCGTCGTAGCAGTCCTCCTCCCCCCCCCCCCCCCCCCCCCTCCCTTCTCTCACTCCAACGAAGATTTTCCAAATGATGGTGGCAGCAGTGCGCCAAGTTCGCCGAAGAGTATCACGCCTCTGGGTGTTTTATAACCAATCGAATGCTCTAATCAGCAGCGGCACGACCGACCCGGCGCCGCCTCGGCAGACACGGGTAAGGCGAGCTCGAAAGGTCAGCCGGCCGGCTGCTGCGGCCAGGTAGCGGACTCCGCCACAGCGCGCCTGCAACTAACACTCAAACGTCGCCAATTCATATACCCACGGGACCCAGATGGAAAGGTCAGCGTTCTGACCCTCGTGCGTCAAGTGAAGTGACCCTCGTGGAAGTGCGTCATGCCGCGCGGGGGGTGGCGCTGCACTGTGTGGCGCTGTGGAATTGGTTGGGGGGGCTGTTGGAATGCGGATTGGTCGTCCCTTGGCAGGGGCGAAGGAACTAAGGGCCAGAAGGCTGACCCCCCCCAACTTTCTGAAGATTTAGCATTGATCCCATTGGTGTTAGCTGGAAAACAACAACGAAAATGTACGACGAAGCTCTTCCAACACGGAAGAACTTCCATTTTACATAATCCATAATACCGAAAAGAGCTGTTGGCGGCGAGAAAATTTGAGCACAAAACGTTCCCTGAATGAGACCAGGCTAAGGTCGGGCTGAGATATCACAGGCCAAGCTGCTCCTTTAATCTTCTCGATGGAGCTGTCTGCTCGCGTCCCGCCCTTTTCTAACTGCCCTGGCAGCTCCGATGTTACACTCCTGCCAACTTTCAGCGACGCTTTGCTGACTAGATGGACTATCGAATCCTCACAAAAATGACAGAGACTCGCCAGACCCGTCCGAAACGTGTTCTCCGACTGGCTTGCATTGCCCTCGGCAGGAAAGTAAATCATGGATTACTTTGCTATTGGTTTTTCAAGGCGCGTCAACTGCAATTGATATTGCGTTAAATGACGTTTGATATCCACTACTTTGATCGAGTTGGCTGACCACTTACCGAAATCAAGCCTAATCCAGTATACAACCTAATCTGGATCTTCAACAGAAATCATCAAGGGCTGAGAGCACTTCCACACAATCCCAGCAATGGGCTGAGCCAAGCCGGCCAACCCTAGCCAAGGAATGAGAGCACTCTCACCCAACCCTAGCCAAGGGCTGAGAGCACTCTCACCCAACCCTAGCCAAGGGCTAAGAGCACCTCCGCCCAACCCTAGCCAAGGGCGAGAGCACTCAAACCCAACCCTAGCCCAGGGCTGAGAGTACTCTCACCCAACCCTATCCAAGGGCTGAGAGCACTTCCGCCCAACCCTAGCCAGGGCTGAGAGCACTCAAACCCAACCCTAGCCCAGGGCTGAGAGTACTCTCACCCCACCCTAGCCAAGGGCTGAGAGCACTTCCGCCCAACCCTAGCCAAGGGGTGAGAGCACTCAAACCCAACCCTAGCCCAGGGCTGAGAGTACTCTCACCCAACCCTAGCCAAGGGCTAAGAGCACTTCCGCCCAACCCTAGCCAAGGGCTGAGAGCACTCAAACCCAACCCTAGCCCAGGGCTGAGAGTACTCTCACCCAACCCTAGCCAAGGGCTGAGAGCACTTCCGCCCAACCCTAGCCAAGGGCTGAGAGCACTCAAACCCAACCCTAGCCCAGGGCTGAGAGTACTCTCACCCAACCCTAGCCAAGGGCTGAGAGCACTTCCGCCCAACCCTAGCCAAGGGCTGAGAGCACTTCCGCCCAACCCACCCAACCCTAGCCAAGGGCTGAGAGCACTTCCGCCCAACCCTAGCCAAGGGCTGAGAGCACTTCCACCCACCCTAGCCAAGGGCTGAGAGCACTTCCGCCCAACCCTAGCCAAGGGCTGAGAGCACTTCCGCCCAACCCTAGCCAAGGGCTGAGAGCGCTCTCGCCCAACCCTAGCCAAGGGCTCGGAGCACTCTCACCCAACCCTGGCCGAGGGCTGAGAGCACTTCCGCCTAACCCTAGCCAAGGGCTGAGAGCACTCTCGCCCAACCCTAGCCGAGGGCTGAGAGCACTTCCGCCCAACCCTAGCCAAGGGCTGAGAGCACTTCCGCCCAGCCCTAGCCAAAGGCTGAGAGCACTTCCGCCCAACCCACCCAACCCTAGCCAAGGGCTGAGAGCACTTCCGCCCAACCCTAGCCAAGGGCTGAGAGCACTCTCGCCCAACTCTAGCCAAGAAAAACGATGCCCGCCGACCACCCACCCAGGGTCTGACGGGCTGAGCCGTGGCACCGGAAAGTACAGGGTGACAAGGGTATTCGGCCAGTTTGTCGCCCTCCTTTCATTTTCCGTCCAAGTGTCACGTTGGACCAGTCACATCTCAGCCAGTCAGGTGCACGCCGCTGGTGCAGCTCTGACCAACGTCACCGGGAGTGTCCGTAACGTCAGCAACTCATCGCTGTCTGATATCTCCTGCGGCAAATATTCGCAGCGCTTGTTGAGTCCCCCTCCGATCTCACGCTTAGAGACCTTCCTTGAGGGCAAACTTAGAAAATAAAGCGATTTACCTCTATTGTAATGCAAGCTGCTAGAGGCTTTGGGAGTAGAGCAGTGCG